GTTTAGTCGTTGTAGCAGCTAAGTTTGGTTCAAAAGAGGTGCTATTCTTTTCTGGTTTGCTACTTTGTTTTCTTACACTGTACTTTTTTTTCTTGCAGATATATGTATGTGCTATCTGTTAGATAGTAATGGCATTGTCGTCAGCCACCTCGTTGTATCAAGGTTTTAGCACTTTGGATGCATTCATATTTCCAGTATAGTTTGAATTTATAATGTTCATATTTCATTTTTATTCACTCGTTCTACTTACTTCTGTCAGATAGAGGATTGAGGGGTATTGTTTCTGCGTACTCGGGGAAGCCAGGTTATAATAATGTCAAGGTTTGTCTTATATCAAGTGAATTTATTTTAGTGTATTTCCCTGTGAACTTCCCTTCTGATACCGTTTCCAATGTAGGTTTATGAATTTGTTCATATAAATTTGTTCTAAATAAGTGTTTAGGAAGTTTGTTGCCTGTGCAAAGTAAATGATTTACTACACAAGTTTACTGTTGTTTTAGATTACATATGTTTTATCACAAACATGCAAGAATTTATCAATAGACTAATCATCTATGTCTTTTAGCTTTGTATAAGCTACAAAATTTTGTTTCAAAGTTCGCAAAATATGGCTATCTTTTATTTTAGAGCTTTGATTTTTATATGTCACAAATTAGTGTATTCACGCTTTTTTCTGCAGATTTCCTTGACACCTTTGTGCTTCAATGTGAATTATACAGACAGAATTTTTTGGTTCTTTTCCTGCTGGTGTACTGCAAGTCAAGGTTGGTTTGGATAAATCTCTGCGGAGGATTTCTTTATGCCCTTGTATAAAGTGTGAGAGGAAGGATGAACCCTTTGAATATGTGTCTGTTGAGCGTCCTCCCTACTATAGCTATATGGACTCAACATCTGGGAAGCTTGAACCAGCCTCTGGTGCCCGTGCTAGCATTCCTGGAGAGGAGTACTGGCCGGAAGGTACTGCTAGTCGTGTTAGGGCTGCCAGGGCCCCTGAACCAACTGGTAAGTCGTTGGGATCCCCATCTTATGGCAAAAATCCTGGGAGTAGGAGGAAGAAGCATAGAACAAAAGTTGCTGCCCCTGAATCTTCTCCAGTGACTGTAGAATCAAGTGATGAAGAGACTGTTGAACCAAGTGATTTAGTTACTTCTGATGTTGTCGAGGACACAATTGAGGAGCCAAAAGATTCATCATCTGAATACGTTGTATATCAGATGGAACCTGAAGCAGAAGAAGAAAGTGGATATCAATTAGACAAGACAGTTGGACGGCCTCATCCCTTCATTGATCCAGAGGTGAAGAAGCCGATTGAGAAGCCCCTTACTAGTGATGAATTGTGGTGGAACTGGAGAAAGCCAGACAAGGAACAATGGTCTAGATGGCAAAGGAGGCGTCCTGATGTTGAAACGGTTGGTGCAAACATATAAAAAGATACATATACAGCTCCATGTTTATTTGGGACTAGATGCCACTTTGACTAATAGAACATTGACTAATAGAAAAGAATCTTGTGTTGTTATTATTATTATTATTTTTTTCTGAGAAGAAAAGCTTGTGTAGTTATGCTTTAAAAGAGCTCATGGAGATATGCATCCCCATTAGTCCATGTGCTTGCTTGTGCTTAGTCCTGTCTTTTTTTTGTGCTTGTGTGTGTAATCTTGGTTGTATACATGCGTTTGCTGTTCTCTGTATTGTGCTTTGGACTGTTGCGAGCTGGCATGTGTTTGTGTGTGTGCTCAAAAGGAAAAGTGTTTACTTCAAATTTTGTTTACTCTTTTTTTCTTTCTCTCTCCTCGGGGAACCTAGTAATTTGATCTGACCTGAGTGATCAGTGAGGCAGATATTGGGTAGAGAAATTATTTCCAAATTTGTGACTCGGAAGGTTCCTCAAAGACAAGTTTGTGGTTCAAGAGCTGCCCGGTATTGTTTGAATATTAAATATATGTTCTTATATAGTTGTATATTGTGCTAGATATTTACTATCTTTTATATGTCTTCTCCTACAACTTTTATGTGTCAAATAATTTTCATTGCTTATGATCCCCGTATCTCTCTAAAAGATCCCTATAGTTACCTATATATAATGCTTTGCAGCATATAATAAAGCTAAAGAATTTTATTCAATATAGTATCAAAGTGAGGAGTTTAGTGTTTCCAATCCTAATTGTCCCAGTTCTATTTAAATTTAATTTCACAAGTGATATATAAGTCCGTGATTAATCTAGCCATTCAGTCAGAGGGACTTTTGTGTGAGGGAGTATATTGGAACATAAATAACAGATTGAATCTTTGTTATTGACTTGAATTTTTGATATAATTGGTAAGAGTCAATTTTTTCACAGTTATTATATATAGCCTTTAAAACATGTTACCTGAATTTACATCTGAACAATAACAACCTAGATGAACCCATTGTTTGAGTTTGTCCTTTGGTGGTGCTGCACCGTAATGAACTTGCTTTTTATTGTGTCATGCTCGCATGACATTTAAACAATAACCTGATGCTACTTAAGTTGATTAATTGGACATATATACGTATATATCATGTGATTTCACAAGAAAATATGTTCTATCTTTTCTTTGAGTTTTACAGGTTTTTCTCAAAGCAATGGCCGAGACTGGACAAGTAAAGCTTTATGGTGAACATCCAACACTAACTGAGACTTCTTTGTACCGAGCTATACGACACCTTTTCAAGGACGAAAGGTATTGTTGGTATCTTCG